ATGCCGATTGGCTTTATTCTAGTTGAATATATTCTTCTCACCGATTAGAGCAGTCTATTGATCTTTGATGGAAATTTGTCTTAAAGTACATCAATTTGCGTGTGCATTATCAAATTTCGTTGGCTTGAAAGTAAGTTTGCTACATGATCAAAGCGATTGAAATCCTAATATTTACCATGCTGATTATGGTATTTTCTTTTTGTTTTAATTCACTCTTGGAATTTTAAGGAGTGATTTTATTTATGCTCATTGGACAAAGTTAAGAGGTGCGAAGGAGTGGGAGCATGATCGTGTTCCTTAAAAGTAATGTCCTGAAACTTTGTCTATAATTATATGGAAACAAAGTGTTGACTGCTCTGAGTTCAAAGTGATTTTCATGTTAAGATTAGAAATACTTTTCTTAATTTTCAAATTTCATTTTCATAATCCCAAAGACCTCCTAAATAAATATCAATTTTTTTTTCCCGATAAAGCTTTGTTTTATTTGTAATTTTCTATATAACTCTATACAGGGTTGGTCCAACCTCATAACCACCATAAAAATTGGAAATAATTTTAAGTTGCCTTTTTTTTCCCTAGAATGACTAACTTGTACAGGAAACCAAATTGTTTACACTAAGAGGCTTAAAGCTTGTAACAGTATACAGCAGTTAATTTTGTTCTTTTATTGCCTTTTGAACCACATCTAACTAATAATCCTGCAACATAAGTTATAAATCACTTGGTGAATGTGCAGCTCATGTTACCGCATTGAATTATGTTGTGGATCAGCAGCTCACTAGCTTATAACTATCATTATTTTTCATTATCTTACATAATAATTTTCTAATTTTACATTTTACGAAGATTTATAATAATAAGTAAAGAATACACATGAAAAACAAGAAATATAGTATGTACGTGGGGTCTTATATTTTTGCTCTTCATTGTTGATGAAATTTAAGCCTACTTTTTATACTAATGGTACTATTACAATAAATAGTTTTTTATGTAATTAAGTAATGTACTAAGGACATAGAATAATAACACATAAAAATCAGCAATATCTTTATCATAATGTTTCTAACTATGTGATAAGAGCCATTAAAAATTCAGCTAAGCTCATTGATGTGTTTTCTGTGGGAATAAAGTTTGAACTGGAAGTGAAATAGACAATTTTCTGTACAGAAACCAATGTAATATAATACATCATTTGATAGATTAAAACTTTGGCTTTCTGTTGGTTGTAAATAATATAGTATAAAATGTCAGAGAAAACTTTTGGAAATTTGTCAAAGAGAGGATGTGACAGGTGGGCCAGATTTTCTAGTTTATGGCTTTGTAAACAAATAAGATTGAAGGCTATAAATATTATGCATTGCCTGAATAATATTTGTATTCTAATAAGTAATTTGTTAAGTTCTGTGCTTCTCAGAGGTTCCTTTCTGGGACAGGGGTAAGTCTATGGATTTACAAAGCTAAAATCAGGAGTTCGATTCCCTTTGATGTGGCTTTGCTATAAGAAAACAAATACATGCTTCTCAGAGGGGTGGTAAACAAATTAAGAGAAGAGGAAAGACCTAGGGAGCAAATGTCAGTTCTCATACAAGGGAAGATTGAGAATTTTTAAAATACTTACTTATAAAATTAAGAACTTAAAACTTAAATAACACTAAAATTTGATTTATTAACTATGTTTTAATGCCAAGTTTTATTTATATAAATTGATAATGAAGTAGTTTGATTAAATTTTGAAGGTAACTTTAAAAGGGTGTGATATGTGCACTTTGACCTACCTGACTTTAAAGGGTTAAGCTCTTGCAATCAAAATAACATTCTTTTCCTCAGCATTACATTGAACAAGCATGTTAAGTTTTTTATGTATGTGTTCAATTTATTAAGATTTGCAATCATCAGCAAAACTTTTATTTTCATTCTGCACTTAGTTTTGTTTATAAAGCATTGTTTAACTTAATGATTTCTTAAATGATGGTGACTTCTACTTTGTCCTTTGAAAGTAACTGAGTTACGAACATAGGATCTATTTCTTTTATGGCTTCTAGAGGCTCATTGACTGTTGGGAATATTACAGTCATTGTTCATTGTGTTATGGGTTCCTCATGCATACTGGGCCTCCTATTCCTGTCCCTTAGGCCATCTTTCTTTCCTCTCAGTTTGTAACTGACCAGGAAGACAACAAATTTAACCACCTGTTCCTCCCACCTGGGCTTGATTAAATCCTTAAACTTCAAATTTTTTCCTGGATATAATTTCTCAGGTATGTTCCTTTCTGTATCTTTAGCCTTTTTTTTTTATTCTTTCTGTTCTTTACTCTGTGAAACCTATTCTTTGGATTGTTTTGTCTTTTCTTTTTTGATTTATATTATGATTCATGAATCATGATTCATTTATATTCATGAAACTTCCTTCTTGAACAACTCTACACTCATACCCACGTGCCTAGTCTCATTTGCAATCTTAACTCTTTTGTCCTGACTTCTAGCCATTCTTCCTTTCCTTTCCTAGATTCACAGTCTTTGGAATCTCTTTTGCTTGCCTGGAGAGCAGACCCCTTTTTTTATTTTGCTCTCTAGTTCCTTGTTTTCACATCTTTATTGCTTTCTCATCACCTTCCTATGTTCCCTCTCCTCCCTCCATCTTTGGTCTGAGGCACGTCATTGTGCTCTAGAGGATTTTTCTGATGAGGATCATTCTCTTCTCTTTACCATCTTAGTCTGCACCATGTCTTCTGCTTTGGCCCTCCTTACTTGATTCCTCTGCTTTTGAGATTTGTTGGGTCGGGATGCTCTTCTCACTAATGTACACCTGCCTTCTTTTATATCTTCTCATTACCTTTTCTGGTTTCTTGTCTTTCTCAACTGTACCATTTGACTCTTGTTCCCCAGCCAACAGTCTACAACTTCCCATTCTGGCTGCCATGCCTTTCTCTTCCCGTCCTTCCACTACCTAACATCTAGTCTATTGCTCATCTTGTTAGTGACTGTTCTGTTAAGTTGAGCCTTGTGGTTGCCTATCTGTCTCTGTTTGACAGCCTTTGGTCTAGATTTTCTAGTTACAGATGAGTTTCATGTTTTCACCCAAATTCTCTCTCTCTCTTCTATTCCCTTTGACCCCATTTGTCTTTACATCTCATGGTTTTGGCCTTGAATCTTTTGACCAAACACACTATTGAGAGGACTTACACTCCTTCACTGGTTTCTTTTTATTCTTGCCTCCTAGTGGTCCCCAAGTAGACCTGGGCCTGGCATCACTTATCGACCTCGCATCTCTTAGCCAGTTTCTGGTCATTCCATGGTTCAAGTTGAGGAATTTCTTTCCTCTCTGCTTTGCTTGTCTTTTTCATCTGGCCTGTGAGTGTTGTGGCTGCCATGTTGGACATCTTTCTCCTTCTATATATATATATCCCAATTTCCCCATTTTCCAGACACTTTGTACATTTCATCCATTAGAATTGAGTCTTCCACTTATGTGCTCTTTCCTTCAGCATGGTATTGACCACTGATGTCTTCATTTGGGTCATTGGGGCATTTGCCTGACACCAAATCAGTATGGTTAATTGGCTTTTGTTTGCCCATTCTCAGGTGACATTTTTTTTACACCTGCCTTGTCCAGGAGGCTGCTTGGTCGAGATGCCTTGTCATTCTTTCCAAGCCTTTTTACATGTTTCCTTCTACTCTCATCTGATTTGGGTTTGACCATCACCTCCTTGCCTGTGAGCTATGGAATGTCTGGTCACCATGATGTGTGCTTCTCATTTTTACCCTGTGTGTAAGTTTCTTTCATTCTTGGGGACTTTGGCTTCCCAGAATAATTCCTTCATCCCTTTGGGGTATTTGCATATGTACCTCTTTTAGTGAACTAAACTAGATCAACTTAATCTTTCTCAGAATCTGTTGTCCTCAATTGTGGATCTTCCATCTCCTTTTTTTGAGAACTTGCAGATCCAGGCACATCTCTGGGTCTCCCCAACATGAATTCCACCCCACTCCCACCCCAATCAGGTGAAATAAGGGATACTCTTGCTACTTACCAGTAGCATAATAAGGTGAGAAGTAGGGCAGTAGTGACACTGTCTGTGTGTAGTGCAAGTGTGCCTTCCTCCTGCATCCTGAGTTTATCCAGTTGCATTTAGGTAAACACACCCTGTACAGTTTGATTGTACCATAACCACACTACATATATTTGCTTGCTGACCACTTTGGTGTAAAATGCCCTGATGGTCATGTTTTCATTCTGGGTGAAGATTATACCCTGGTTGAGAAAAGATGCAGTCTGCCCTAATTGAGCTCTGCCATTAGGTATCACATTCCATTGGCTTTCCCTTTTAGTACTTGCTGAAAGGATCATATTTAGGTTTAATTTTGCACCAGCCTCTCCACCTATTCAACATGGTATTCTAACTATTCTGTGTGCGGACCTTAGGTATAGTCTCAGAAGTTAACATTTTTTTAATCTGAAAATATATTTCCGATAGATACATTACCACTCCTCCTTCCCATTCTGGTGCATTTTTTTATTTCTTGCCTCGTCTAAAAATAAAGTTATCATGAGTACAATTGAATAGGGGAGTTACTGCATATGAAGGCTGTGTCACCCTCCTATTGGTGGAGAGCTATTGTCATATGATGGTGTAACTATGCAGCAGAGCAGTCCATGTTAAACATGTGAATTTTAGATAGATGTTAGCTCAAGGATAATGTCATGCAAATCTCATAAGCAGATGTGCAAGGGATATAACTATTCTGTGTGTGGAAGTGGGTATCTATCAGATATACATTTTCAAATTAGAAAAATGTTAACTTTTGTTTCCCAATGGATTTCGTGACTCTCCAGTTCTCTTCTTTATCTCATTGTGGGTATTCTGGTTTTTGTGTATAGAAAAGGTTTTTTGTATTGCAGGGGTAAGTACCTGTTTGAAATTAATTCTAATTCTAAAAATTGAATTATTAACTAGTGTATTTATGTTTTAATTTTTTGATTTGAAATTTTCATTTCTTCAGGTAAGTATCCCAATGTCTGTGGAGTTTGACGAATTTGCAAAGGCTAGAGAAAACCCATCTGAAGATACACAAAGTAAGTTCATTATAATGTACATATTCTCCAAGTCTTTACAGAGCATTATTTCAATATAAGTCTAACTTTGATAGTCATTATGAGCAATAATAGAAAATAGTGATATTAATTGCTTTCTGCACTTAAATTTTTTTTTTTTATTTTGTCCGTAAGCCCACTACAGGCACAAGATGTTCATTAATGAACACTACTATGATAACTGTAAATAATCAACAAAGTTCATATGAATAGAATAACAAATCCAACTAACAGCAATTCCATTAAAATATGGAAAAACATAAATTAGTTTAAAATTCAATTATACTAAATGTACTAAAATATATTGGTCTTGATCATATTACTTTCACAGTCTCCCTAGATTTTAAAGCTTTTTAAACAGAAATAGTGAATGTACATAAAACCTGGAATATATTGTTGCAAAACATTGAGTATATAATAAATTTCAGGTTATTATGAAAAAATTATAACTGCAAAGTATACACATACATACATACATACATATGTACATAATTCATATAGCCTAATTGGTATTTTATTGGAATTACAGGTATTTTTTTAATTTTCCTCTATGTTTTTTGCACGTAGTTAATTACATCCTTGTAAACCAGATGTTCAAAGATCAAGAATGTGTACTAATTCTTTTGGTTTTGTAAATTTTATGTATTGTGATGGCCATCACATAGAACCTCATATAAGTTGGTGGCTCTCTTACTTGTATATATTATTTGAAAGTGTCATCACTGCCATAGGTAATCTGAAGATTATCACACTAGGATCATTGTCTGACTTGTACATGCATTATTATATTACTTTTTGTTTGGTCCTTGACCTACAGACATGCTTGTAATCTTCTTTTTGCAATGGCAACTAGTTTGAGTCTAAAGAAACATAGAAGCTAACTGGTATGTAAAGATTTGTTTCATTTGTTCAACTTCATTTGCCTGCTTTCCTTCCTTGTCTGAGTTTATTAGTACATTGAATAACATTTCCAGAACCTGTATGTTTCAGATACTTGATATTTTATTTTTGAATACCACAGTAGCCTTGTGTTTCATTGAGCCAAGATCATCTGTATCACAAAATCAGCAATTTCTAAAAACATAGATGTTTAGGTTTTTCAGTCTGTTTGATGCTGCTTATTATTTGTCCATATTTAATGAAGATTTTAATTAATCACACTGGGACTTAAACTTGGCTCATAGCTAAGTACTTACAGATTGACTGGGGAGATCATATATCAATCTTTGTTATAGATAGTAGACTATATGTTCATAGACAATATAGACTTAGGTGATCGTATAGGTTACCAACCTTGACAGCATCTGATTTAAAGCTGTGTCAAACTTTATAATAAACATGTATAGGAAATATGATAACCTTTAGTGTATTTGATTTAGAACTGGTCTATTACTTAAAATCACAAATTCTTGAAATATTATAGTTGATAAAAGAATTAGAAATCCACTATTCCTGTTTCTGTTAATTAAATAATCAAGTTCTCTTCTCATTAATTATTGGCTGTGGTTTCTGCTCTATATTTAAAGATGATTTTTGAGTGTAATGAAAATACTATTTCTCAGGGTTGGAAAGTATTGAAAAGTTTTAGGAGCTTGGTATAAACTGTTAGAAGTAAGGGGAATAAGGGTTCCCAAAAGTGTAAAATAAAGAAGTAGCAAATACATGGGTAAGAGATTTTGAATGGTGATCCTTTGAGGTTCAGTTGGTTGCTTTTATAGATGTAGGAATAAAAAAGGTTTCCAGTGCAATAAGAAGTTGCTAAAATAATTATTCTAGTGTAAGAGTTAGTACCATTTCTACCATAGAAACTGTAAGCATATCATAGGAGATTCCACTATTTACAAATACCGTGATTAATGCTTCAGGAGTGCTGGGAACAAGAACTGTAGGATCCAGAATTTGCATGGGCACTCATTGCCATAGAGCAAGGTGAAGTATGATCAGCACAGATTAAGGAATGTAGCCTGGATGTAAATTAACTGTGGCATTTGTACAAACAACTACAAATGCAACAAGGTGTACTGTACCATTATCGACCACTAATTTGTGGTTCTCAACCTGTGTTGCAGCTAGTGTTCCACAAAGTGTTCAGATGCTTAGTGGAAAGAATGGAGGTCAACAAAGTGTTACACTTGCACCATCACATGATGTTTATTTTACTACTTGCATTCAGGCCAAGACATTTAGAAATCATGCAAACATTGTAGGGTGTGTTCTTCCCAAAGGAAAAGCAAGCATAAACAGTGAATACTTAAGCAGAAAATTGTTTGCTTTCCTTTATTGAGAATAACCCTGGATATCACTGGTTTTCTCCTGGACACTGAACAAAGTGTTCAGTATGTACTGGTCATTATAATTTAATTTACTATAAGTGTGCCAAGGCTTATCCATTTTTAATATTTCACCACAGTCCAAATTGGTAGAACACTGAATTGCCCAATTTAATATACCTGAATAAATTCACATGGATCAGGTAACTAATTTCATTAGCCAATTATTGTGCAACTTGTGTAAAGTTTTTAATGTGATGAAGACACATACTTTACTTTATCACCCTCCAGTCTGTTGGGAAATTGTTTCTTCCCAGCCAAACCAATTTGGGTGTCATGATGCCATATCACCCTACAGAACAGATATCAACTGGTTATTCACCAAAGATTCTCATATTTGGTTGCTCCATTTGATGTGATATATAGTCTGTCTCCTATGCAAATATGCCACAGTGTCTACAAATATATATAGAGTGGTTGAGTTCTGATTTGGCTGATGTGCATAAAATCACACATCAATAGCTAGAAAAGGCTTCAGTACAGTAGAAGAAATGTTGTAATATAGCTCTTACAGAATGATCATTCCAGTTTAGACCATGGCTGTGACTTTGGAACCTGTCAGTGTCTCAGTAGCAGCTTTGTTCTGGCTGGACATGTCATTTTCTAATACTAAGCAAATCTATTCATTTATATATGAGATACAGCAGTCATATGTACTAACTTGACTAGGAATTAGATGTTGAAGCTGACTAGTTGGGGAAGAATGAGAGTACTTTGTTATATCTCAGCTCAGCTGATAAGGAGAAAAATTATAAAAGTACTTATCTGGCTATAAAAGATGAGGAAGCACCTGGAAAAAAGGTGCAAAATAGCTCTGGAGTTGGATGAGATGTTGCCGTCGACCACCTGATCATTGCAGGAGGGATTATCTGCCAGACCAGCAGTTAGGACGGTCATTTCATTTCAAGATAAATTACTAAAATGAAGTGGCTTTCAAAATTATTTAGTGGTGTTTTGCAATGAAATGTATGCAGTATGCACTACATTAGATGGTTGACATATGATTATTAAAAGGTTAGGATGTTTTGTAGATTGCAAGATTAACTGGACTGAAAGGGCAATGAAATCCTTACTTTCTAAGCTATTTTGTAGATTGTTGCGACATTTACTTTCTATAGAAGCAGTGAAAGATAGTTTATTGAGTAAGTTGAAATATTCATGAGTAGGTGGAATTATGTATAGAAAGTGATATGTCAAATGTAAATTTGGTGCACCCAATATTTTATTTAGTTGCAGTTGAATATTTTCAATCATGCAGATAGAAATATTTCAATAAGCACTCAGTTTTGCTGAATATTTTCTTAACATTGATTCAGTACAAGATGCAGTTGAAATGCAGATTGTGAGTGTACAACTAGAGGCAAGAAGTAAGAGCCATATGATGCTACTTTTGTAGTCTATACTTGAATCTGAAAGAGGTTTGACAAGAAATGAGGTGTCAGTGTTAATGAATTGTCATGGTTGGAAGATGGAGGTTAGTAACATTGTGTGGCTAGCCTATTTTAGTTATTTGTGTGTGAAATATTGTCTGCAGTCTTGCCTCCAGTCCTTACTTATGGACCCAAGTACTGTTTGTGAATAGGTTTGAGGGAAAAGGTAGCTGGGTTAGCTGTTTTTATGGTAACAGTGGAGAGCACTGTTGAGTTTAGGTTAAGCTCAAGGCCTATAAAGTCTGGTGGACTAGGACATCTACAGGAGAAACGAATACACTGTTTATAGGTGATATACACGTAAGTACAGGTAAGCTTGTAGGACCATCATTCAACCATAACAATAATTTTCACACGCGGTATTTAATGGGAACTTTGAATCATTGAATTATTGTAACTGTTTCCTGAAATAAATAACATTATTGTTTCATGCATGTAAAACTATGTTTACTGACTTTGGAACAGTTTTACAATCGTTTATGTTTTTTGTGTTTTTTTTTTAAGTTTTAGGTTCAGTACTTTTCTAAGAGCTGCTCAGTAAAAGTGACACAAAAATACACTTAATTGTTTGTATGAATGTTATATAAAGGTTTTCTTGTGTTTCATATTGTGTCTAGTTTTTTTTCTTTGCTTTGAACTCTGTCAAGGACAGAGAATTCAGATTCATCCCGTAATACATTTACTGTTAAAACCTGTTATTCTGCTTTTCTACCCAATTACTTTTAAAGATAAATCAGAAACAACTTAAAATTTGAAATTATCTTCAGACCAACAAATGGTTTTCAAAGTTTTGACAGCATGAACACATGGTATATGATAAACTCTTACTATAAAGTAACATTTCAGAAAAACTTTAAAAAGGTTGAGAAAAGCATTTGGAACAACCACATAAAACATAATGAGATCACACTTTTGGTTTTTGACTTTATTTCCAATACAAGAAGTCATCAAGTTTGTAAAATGCACCTCCTCTCACACTATAGCTTTATCCCGATGAAATTTTCTCTTCTCTGCCCATCTAAGCATTAATATGAATCTTAACTCACTTGCTCCAGCCTTTATACCTCACTATATTGCCCAAAGCAAGTTAAATATCGTGATTCTCTCCTCCTATGTCAATGTGCCCTCTATCCCAGATCCATATATAAGCTCCCTGTTATTACGTCCTATTCACTTGTCTTGATGGCAGAATGTTACGATGATGTGTTTTACATGCTTGCTACAGTTTTCTCTTCAGTCTTGAATGGCTTAAATTATACCTACACTTTAACCAATTCCTTTTTTTTTTTTTAGACCTGTATTCTTGGGTTTTGAGTTTGTTGTCTATTTTCTTTATTTAAAAAAAAAATAGATATTATTTCTGAGACATTTTGGATATGAATTCACAATTTCATATCTCTGACAAGGAGTTACCTAGAGCTTATACTCTGCCACTTGTGGAGTCTAGCATTACCTGAGTGTCAGGGGCAGAGACCTCTTTTTTTGTGAGGGATTTTCAGTCCCTCATATGTAGAGAGGTGGAGTTTTGCATGAGGTCTGATGTTTATTCTCCTGTTGGCTCAGAGGCTGAGCTTGTGGGGGGTCAGGAGCAGACTTGTGAGAATTTGGACCCAATTTTTCTGGCTCCTTCCTTGCTCAAACAGCTAATTATGAGCCAAGGACAGTCATCCCACTCCTGCACTGTTTTTGCATCTAGTACATCAAGTTTGTAATGTCTTGAGCTTTTCTTCTGTAGCTTATGACTCTTCTCCTTCTTTGTTGGAGGTACAGTCATTCAGTTGATTATCTGATCTTTCCACCTTTGCTAGATGTTTTTATGCATGCTAGGTGATTTGCTGATATATTAGGAGAGAGCAATGCCATGCATTGTCCTCCCTGTTTATCAGATCAGCATGCCTTAGATTTCCATTGCTTGGACAACCCATATTTCAATTCTCAGAGGTTAGATTCTCTTCTTCCTCTTTGAAGTTATAGGCCTGATGCCACTGTTTGTCTTCACTAAACTCAGTTTTCCCAAATTCGTCTGTCCTTTACAAAAGTTTTACTTTTTTTTTCTTTTGCAGCTGTTGTCTGAGGCCTATCACAGGTCTCCTGTTCAATTTTCAGAAGACTGTAGTCAATTATTGGTTTTTCAGTTTTGCACTCTCCCATTCCCATTTGCTATTCTGCCCTATATGTTTTTTACAGATAGTCAGATCCTTTTCGTGTCATCTTCACTCCTAGGTCGTTCACACTAATCTTTATATGGATGATTGGCTTCTTCTCACTCTTCCCACTACTTGGCTGAATTTCACCCTTGAATTCTTTTCTACAAAGCTGCAAGAGCTGGGTTTCTCATCACAATGGAGTAGTCTTTTGTCATTCCCGCACAGTACCTCGTTCATTTAAGGCTGTTTTTCAATTCCCATCTCAATTTGGCTCAGCCATCTTCTCGACATTTTCAGGTCATTCTTTTATTACAGTCGTCTCCTTCTCCACCAGTGCATGTGGTTCTATCTCTTTTAGATCAGGCCCACGTGTTCCCTTAAGTGATCATTTTCGGACCAGTGCAACATTTGCATGGATGCGCTGGATTGTCCAGCTTGTTCAGTCCTGGTTGGTGGATGGACAAGGACAACAGACAGCAGGTGTCACTCTCCTGCCCCCATGTCCAGAGTTGCATCTTTTTATGGATGCTTCTCTCCAAGGATGGGGTGCTTGTGTAGGGGATATGGAATTCAAGGGCCTGTGGAGAGAAGATTCCAGCAGTTCAATGAGCTATGTCTTGGGATCTTTACAGTTGGGAAAGAAGATGGTATTGCTTCACTCAGACAATTCCATTTTGGGGGACACTCACTCCAGGTCTCTTTGTTTTCAGACATTGGATCTTCTCTTTTGGGCCTCAATCATCAAATTGTTCTCTTTGCTTGTTGTGTTCTGGGTGAAATGAATTTTGTGGCTGATCTATTATTTTGTCCCACAGGTTGGATGCTTCACAAGTTTTTCGTTGGTTCTGATCTTGTCTCGGGACAACTCAGATTGATGCTTTTGCCACACACTGGAATGCTTAACTCCCATCCTTCTGGTCTCCTGTACCTGAGCCTCTGGATTTGGGCTTAGATTTTCTTAGCCAGGATTGGACTGGTCTTCACATTTACACGCCCCCCCCCCCTTCCCCATTACATCAGTTATCCACAGTTCTTGTACTTTTTTTTGCTCCTCATCCTGTCAAGTTTTTCTGGTGGTACCACATTGGCCGAGTAAGCTTTGGTTTCCATCATTCAGTATCTACAGGAGTGCCTACCTCTTCTGCTTTCTCTCTGGCCATCTCTCTTCTGTCAGCCTCAGTTAGACATTTTTTCATCTGGTGATCGCCATTCTCTGGCTTCATGTCTGGGTATTATGCAGCCCATTGCACAGAGTCATAGATTGACCACTTGGACTTCATCTGCCTGGTTGGAACCTGGATGACTACATGTTCTTTTAACAGTGTTAGGATTTTGCCTCTGTGGCCGGTAGGCCTTTACTGCCTAGGAATTAGATTTTATGTTATTCAGGCAAAGAGCATACCTGTTTCAGAATTAGTGTGGACCCCACTAGTATGCTATTATTATATCTCATTTTTGCACACCTCTTTTCTGGAAATCTAGCTATAGTTAATTATTATTGGAAATACATTTTCGGTAGAGAAAATTGTTAACTTTCAAAAATGTTTTAAATCTAAAACTTTTCAAAATAAAACAGTGGAATGTAACTAATGAATTTTCTCTTTCCTTGATCTCAAATAGATATTGAAGTTTGTTCAGTGAATTTTCAGATTGATGTACAATGAAAAACGTAGTTTAAATACTTAATATTTGCCATGCAAATTATATTGGTAAGATATACAGTCCTGTTTATGGTTTAATTGATAAATATTCTTTGACATTAAAAATGTGAATGTAGATACTTTGTTAGCAATATACTTTAGATATGTACATGATGGACATACAATTTTTGTAACCCACTTACTGTTCAAGTACTTTATAAGTGTCAAAGGTTCTACAGACCAGGCAGGTATAGAGAGTATTTCCATAGCACCAATAAAGCTTCTTTAAATGTACTGCAGAAACCATAAATCAGTAATCAGTGTGGAGCAGTGTGTTAGCAATATATTTTAGAAATGTATATGATGGACATACAATTTTTGTAACCCACTTACTGTTCAAGTACTCTAAGTGTCAAAGGTACTACAGACCAGGCAGGTGTAGATAGTATTTCCATAGCACCAGTAAAGCATCTTTAAATGTACTGCAGAAACCATAAGTCGGTAATAAGTGTGGAGACAATGTCACTTAACTAATGTGTAATCACAAGTAGAAAAAGTATTATACAAATATGTGTATATATGCTTTGCACTTGTAATTATGTTGATAGCTACCTGTTATATATGTTTGTAAATTATTATTGAAAAGGATGGCAAATTGCAGTTGCATATGATTTTTTTCTATAACTTAAAATGTTGTTTTTAATTGTTCTGAGTTTAATGGTTGTATATTATATTACCAAGAACCTTTTGTATTTATTAGGTGTTTATGTTAAGAAGTACTTGTAGACATTTAAATTAAAAGTTAAATTATGATTATTTGTATTACACAGAATAACTAAGGGGACATCCATAATTGTAATCATTTTCATAAAGGTAAAACTGTACACTTATTCAGACTCATAGATTTATAAGGCTTATTTACATAACTTTTATAATACTACTAACATTAAATAATAATCATTTCATAGAATAAAAAAAATTCATCTCCAGTCTAATTTCAACGTATCAGTTTATTTATAACAGAACAACAAAGTCAAAAGCATCAAGACAAAGAACACCATGAACAATACATACTACAATAGATGTCTTAAATGCAATTCCAAGTGTAAAACATACAAAGTTAAAAAATATTTTAATGGTAAGCAAAATTAGAACAAACACTCCTATACTTAGCATTAAAATTCTATCTTTAAGTGTTTCAATTACTAAGAAATTATTTCTTTGGTCTGCATTTTTCTAATTTGTGTCTGTAACATCTTGGTGCTTGGATTTACTTGTGAAGTATATGGTCATCTGCTTTTCTAATAAATTCTAAAATTTGGTGGAACACATGAAAATCTCAAAACCAAAGATAGTGCTTCTTAAAAGACACTCTTGACCAACTCCTACCTTGTGTACATTTTGTACACCTGTAAAAATATTGATAGTTATTGACAACCTCTAACCAAATGTGAAATTAATGTATTATGTTTTCAGATCTTGTAGAGTTCACTGATGAAGAAGGTTATGGAAAGTTTCTGGATTTGCATGAGTGTTATGAATGTTTTATCAACCTTAAAGGTAGTGAGGTAAGGAATCTCTCCCTTACTGTGATTGTGGTCTAGTTACTTTAGAAAATTAGTTTTTGTCATTTTGTTCAGTTTTATTTATAATTAACATTTGTAGAAACTTTTGGAAACATAATACAAATTGTTGACTAGAAATGTTTATACTCAAAATTATATATATTCTGTGGATTTTTACTTTTTTTTTAGGGATCATCAGGATCATTACTGTTTTTAGTTTTGTTTGAACCCAAAGAGAGAACATTTAGAGGATGGTGGTCTTATTTTTGATTGAAATTTATTAGTTTTGGGCTTGGCATGGAAAACTAATTAGACTCTTGAACAGTTTACAACATCTATGCAAGAACACATTATCTTATGACATTTTAAAAATTTATCATCATTGCCAAAAGAATGTGGTGATTGTTGTTTCCAGTTTGTACTGTGATATTATAGGCATACTATTCATTTTATTTACCCTTATTTGATGTAAAATCTTTAAACATCTCCTTTGCATACTGTGTATGTAGTCTTAATGTTAAAGAAACCCACTTGCACTAGTTACCTACTGAACTTGGTCATTCAACTAGATTCCTATAATGTGGAACATACTATGTAGAAATGCACAGTGATCTGTTCCACTGGTAAATCAGGTGATATCTTATTTTATAAGGAGAATGACCAACAGTCAAATGAATAGCACCTGCATCCAGAGAAGAATGGAATTATTGTTTTGTGTATATAATGCTGTGTTTTCTCAGTATGGAACTGTGTGATGCTTTTATTTAAACACACTTCTTTTCTGAGAGCTTACAAGTAAAGATGCCACAATATCAACTTGTTTTCTTTTGACTGTTTTTGAGTGTTTAATGAATATTGTTTCACTGTTTTGTACATTGTGTCAAGTCTCTATCCTTGCTTCAAACTCAGTCAAGGTCAGAAAATTCAGATTCACTCCATGATACATTATCTGTCAAAACTTTCTATTGTTCTGTGTCTCCTACCTGACTGTTCTTGCAAGATTCTCATAGCATCTGGGAATACCATAGTACTACATGAGGTTGCTCATTTTTATAATTTAATAATCATGATAGGGCATTTGATATGATAAAATTATAATAAAATAAATGAAAAAGTAAATTCATTTTGAATTGGATCCTGATAAGTTATTGTTTCTATAAAACAAAAAGGGGGACAAACTTTCAAATTCAGTAGGCTTTATTATCTATGTGGTTTCTTTGCAAGTTATATTTTAGAACCAACTTGTATAGATTCATGCAATTATGAGAATTTCTAAAGTTTTGCATTTGCAGAGAGTTTGCTGCTAGGAATTACTTCTTTTTAAATGCTTCTCTGAGCACGTACAGCACTTTCTTCAGACAACTGGTCACTTAGTTGTGTGTGCGTGAAGCAAGTACTTGCACTATTTAATGTTTTTTTTCTTTATCCATTTTCATCCTTGTATATGATTTTGTTAATCAAAAATTATTAGATTTATTATGTGGTGATATTTTATTGTTTTAAAAATAAGTGAAATGAATAAGCTGTTTTGAAAGACACCAGTATAAATTGATAGTTTTCTTTATATATAGTTTGGTAAAAACCACTTGGCTGAAATGTTAATTTTGTTATTTCTTTTCTCTTGCATGGAAAATGATGTATGCAAAAGCAAATTGTCTTCTATCCTAATTGGAACTGATTATATATTCTTGAATGAATAATCTGAAAATAGTGTATTTATGAGATTACTTAGTGATTTATTTGAGTTGAAGCAACATCTATGTAAAATGTATTCAGTTTGATTTTAAATTGTTCATGCAATAACTATGAAATAAGTAGGATAATTTTCTCTGTTACTGTGTAGTTGAGGTTTGAATAAATTTTATTTTTCAGTTAAGTTTTATTATTTCACTTTTTCAACTGAGTGTAATATTTTTTCTTCAGAAACTAGATTATCTATCGTACTTGACAACATTCGACCAACTGTTTGACATTCCAAAAGAAAGAAAAAATTCAGAGTACAAGAGGTAAGTTTTCACTAGAAGAAAAATGTAATTTTTAATTTTCATTTATCAGTAAATACTTTTTATCTGTATCAGTGGAATGTTCTGTAAAATTTTATTTTTATAATTGTCTTGTAACATTTTATTTTTATAAATGCTACTACTGTTGAATAAAATAGAACCCATTGTAATAATTTTAGTAAAAATTAAATTTCATTACAATGCATTTTGTGATATTTTTAAATAAACTATTGGGGTAAAAAGTTTAATTATTACTATTTTGATTTTCTTGAAAAAATATTTTATGTATTATGTTAGTAAAAGGTATACATATTACTTCATTTGTGTTTTAAGAAGTATTTTATAATAAATCTAACTAACCAGTATATTTATATTTTGATTTAAGTAAAAGGCTCTCATCCATTGTTAGCTCTATAAAAAAAAAAGTGTTTAGGCAGGTCAAAGAAGGGTAAGAGGTAATCTCATTCAAATTTACAAGATTGTCCAAGGGGTTGACAGTATAAAGGCTTCTGATTTCTTTGTGCTGTATTCTGAAGACCCTGGGATGAGAGGATATTTTTTCAGTAGAATGATTAGCTTATGGAATGAATTTCTGTCAAAAGTAATGGAGACCATTTTCTTAAAATAGTTTTAGAAGGGAATCAATGATTCCCTGAAAACTAAAAAAAATACTGGTTTAAATTTTTTACTTTTCTCAAGGGTAGTAACAGTTGGTCCCTTGTTAGCCATAAGTTATATTAGAGTAATCACTTGGTTATGTATGAATAATAAGTAGTAATGTTTTTATGTGTGATGGAACTACTTATAAATGTCTTGTGTTATGAGCAGTATTAGTGTAAGTTACATAACTTATACTTTAAATAAAGAATGCTTTCTCATAGGTATCTAGAATCTCTTCTGGATTACTTACAAGACTATATTGGTAGAGTGAAACCTGTCCTGGATTTGAATGAGGTAAATTACTTCATTTGCTACTTCAAAAAATTATAGATCTAACAGGAAGTTAGTGCTACCTTTGATAATTAATGGAATGAAATTTCCACTTCTCAATGAATGAGAACTGAAAATCAGTTACCTTACCTGAGAATAATATAGTGTGTGTTCTCAAGGCATACACATATTTTTTGCACTAGCAAACTAATTGAAAGGATCTTATATACTCTAAAATGAATAAGGTAACAGTAAATAATATAAATGTTAAAAATATGTCATCTGATTCATGTCACTTATATATTAGGTATCAAGAAACACCGTGCACAAAGAAAATCATACATTTTATGAAATGAGATATAGATTTTTCATTGAAATCAAGTACTGACAACTGCAAGATAAATTGATTCATATCACTTATGAAAAACATCAATTATATCTTATTTGTATTGAATAGTGACAAGTATTACTAATATAACATATCTTATTGTTTATGAAATATGCTGCTATGATTTCAGGTTACCATAGAAATAATTTGGAATAGAGATACATAATTTTGAAAGGTATCTCTATATTTAAAAGGGTAAGTAGCAATTTGTAGATGCAACTTCATAAGGTTCTATGTGTACAATGGATTAGTAGAGTGATGAAGAACAGAGATTATGGATGAAATTTAGAAAATTATGCTTTCTGTTAAATGTTTTTGAAAAATATTAAATATACAGGTAGAATAGAAAGTAAATCTATGATTAAAATCATAATGAAAGTATAGTAAACTTAAGTGCTGTTAAAGGCTATTTTGGTCCAACTTTGTCCATTGTCTGTTCTGAAGTTTCCTGTGTTGTATAACTTTGTGCTGTGTTTGGATGGGAAAATACCGCAAGGAAATTATCAGGAGATTAAAGTAAATCTGAGTGTATTTGATAAATACATTAACTTAAGTAAGGTTTGATCAAATGATATATTCAAGTCTATTCTAACCATGTTGGCTTATCTGCAGTTTAACATGGTGTTGGCTGACTCAAACTAAATATGTATAAAACAACAAATTAGATATAGTTAAGGAGAATTTAAAGTAATATTAAATTTAAAAAATGTTGATGGTTTAAGAATTGAGAGAGAAGATTGTCATGTATTCAGTGAGTAACCCAAGAAGAATGCAGGCAGAGAATCTAAATAAAGGATTCCAGTTGTCTTGTAAGTAACCTGTTGTACTTTTCAGGATTAATGCCAGCAGGTGATTTTACATTGTGTCCACCATGATATGTGATGACATATGCTTTTCAGTGACCTAATATTTGACTGTTAGTTATAAGTATATGAGTAAATAGTGGAGTTAAAGGTTGAGTGAGGCAATCACATTTTTCAGAGCAAGGAGAAATTGATTATTATGGTTTTTTAAGTTAACATTTCTCATCTGTTTTGTGCTATTATCCAAAACTAAATTTCATATTCAAAATTACTTTCTGTGCCATTCATATATCTCATGCATATTTAGTTAAGTGTAATGAACGGCCATAATGATAATATTGGAGGGTGAGTCTAGTTTATCATTCATGGTTTGTGCTCGGGAAGATTCTTCATCAGATAATCACAAATAAGTGACATGAGCTAACTAAACTACAATGCTGTGAATACATGCCCTTCCTTAGTTGATCTGGTCTTTTTTTGCTACAAAGTACTTTTTTTATAGGATTCTTCACATCTATATTCTTACTTTAGCTGCTCTATGAGATGATATTATTGAAAACATTTAGGTTGTTTTAGTGAGTCATAATTAGTGACATGCAAATTATATTTATTTACATTTACCTGTTATTCCTTTAAATATTTTTTTTCTAGACCTGAACTCCCAGTCAGAGTTGGAAGTTTTAAGGATCAAAGTTTGTGTAAAAGTAAATTAGATTTTGTTTGCAGTGTAAATAGTTAGTTGGAATTTAGTAACAATACAATACAATGTTCAGTATTTTTAAATGAAGTTGGAATAAGCTCATTGCTCATGAAAATTTTCAAATGATTTCTGTTAATTAGCCTGTTATATTAGATGCCTGATTTGGGGGTACCCTTTCACTCAGGTAGAGTACTGTTTTCCTCTTTTCATCATTGCTGATTGATTATAAGTTTTCAATTATATACACCCATTAATAAATAAACAATTTATTTATGCAACTTAATATAATGTTACACTTTTTCCTTTATCACATGCCTCACTGTTATACACTTACCTTATCTGATGTTTAAGTTCATCCAGGCAGTGCCTCCACTCATTCCTGGAGCTTTTCTAATCAGAAAGTCCACAAAATCACATTCTGTATGATAAACTTAGTGAACTATTTAGGAGGTTTTTGCTGTGGTATATAAAGCCAGAGGTAGTTGGAACAAAAGAAGGCAGTGATTTGTGTGAGGTCAAGCATTCAGATGTTAAGAACGAGATGAATGATGAACATGTGATTGTTGGTGAACCAACTAGAAAAGCCATGCAAAAGCTGTCCAACAGTGGCAAGCATAACATGTTGCTAGGAATGCATGCCTTTTATTAATCTGCTGTCACCTACCTAATTAACCATCTGCTT